CAGTGTTGCGAGACACTGGACGAGGGGCACTACACTCGTAAGCGTAGTGTCCTGCCTTTTGACATCTGTTGCATTTCTGCAACTTCTTGTAGCCTGTAGAGCGGGCCTTCTCGCTCTCTACATAACAGAGTTCCATCGGCTCTGGACCTCCGTTGTCATATCGTCTCGGTTGACGATATGATGTCGAGCTGGAGCGAGCCTGTCTCAGACTGAAGTTTTCCTATTCCGCAATGGAAATGGCTTGTTCTAGTGAATCTAGTTCAAGTCGGAACAGGTGAGTCTTGACGGGACCATCCGCAAGACCCTGCATGAACACCGAAACCGACGTGTGTTCATCAACCGGGTTGGAACTTACACGACTCGTGAGATGTCTTATATGTTGCGCGTAAGCGTGCACATCACGCTTACCTTGTCTGAGCTTCAAGAGTTCAGTTCGAGCTCTGAACTCAGCTCTAGGCGGTTCAAACGTTTGTCTGAGCCGCGACTTGAAGACTTCCAATGACCCAAACGCATATGGGTCGTGCAACTTGAGCCCCAGTGCCAAGTCTTGACACGTCCTGCCAGATTTGACTGGGCAAATGCAACTTGCATTTCCCCATCGTCGATGCGACGCGCCCTTGTGGCGTCGTCTAATTCGACGAACCATCTCAAGAGGGAGTCCTCTTCGACTCCCCTATACTTGGAGATGCCAATCTTCAAGGTCTCGGGTCGACGCGAATGCATCGACCCACCAGAAGCAGCCTGCTACTGTCTCAACAGTTCAAACTGTTGAACACCCTGTTCTCTCAACAACTCTGCTTGTTGAGAACCTTGTTGGTGAAGCAAGGCTACTTTCTCGCGTTCTGCGTCAAGTTCATTTTGAATGAACTTGGCGCTAGTAGCATGTTGGGCATCTCTATTGAGAGCCTCTAGCATGACGCTAACAGCGTGGATGTCCATGGTTGAACCCATCCGTTCAACCGCATCCCATTCAACATTGCTCAAATGGGAGTAGCTTTCACGCGTAGCGTAAAAGCTTTGGTCGTCTTCATCATCCAACATATTCATGTTAGATGTGAACGTGGTCCTTGGACGGACTACGAAGTGCTACCAGGTGTAACGGGGCACCCTGAAGCTTGTACTCATGACAGTGCAAGCTACTTATTCTAATGACAGAATAAGGCGGTGCCTCGGAACTTCACGTACACTGGTACGTGCAGAGCAAGACGGTAAGAAGAAGCGAGTACTTGGTTTAAGTAAAAAGTAGAACTGTATTTATAATAGTTAATTTCTGTTAATAAACCACTGTTTATCCTCATCTAACTATGTCTGAACACAAATGTGTAAATCAACTATCTGCTCACCACTCATTGCGTGCGTCTGTCGTGGCGCGTCTTCGTTGGTTGATATAATGGCCTATATCAACCAATTAGGAACTACTCGTAAGTGCAACAGAATATTTGTCCTTATGACAATATGCTGAGAATATAACTCTTATAGTTATATTCGATTAACCATTTCTTATAAATTGTTATGGAACGATTTACCCCGTTACATGTGACATCCTCGATGACGGATATCACAAGTACCATGACCAGCTTCTGGGCCGCCTGCGTCCGAAAACTTAGAGCGATCGCAATCCGAGAGCATCGAAAAATGTCGTCGGCTATCCAAGGTGCCATGCTGTTTGCATGCATTGAGTTACTCGAGCACAAATCCGTCAGGTCTCCCGGAGTTCGCGAGGAGGATCCTGGCCTTCCCCCGGCGCTGCCTTCTTGGCTACATCTACATTGTAGATCTTGCACGTAGGTAATCCCGTGTAAAAGTACGTATACTACTCCTACCTGATCGTTCTTGCTTATTGATATACAAGATATCTGATTCAGCTCTTGCTATCGTGTTTTGGTATTATCAATGTTTTAGTTTAAAAAGATCTACTTTTTGCGTCATACTAAAAACGAACAGTGCTGTTCACCCTGACAGCCACGATGTCTCGAACGAACGCGTATCGTCATATAAGGGCTATCAAGTTCTACAACGCAAGTTACCGCTCATCCTAGGTATAGTTTACTATATTTACATGCATGGTCGATGCGCGTCGTGCTATTTTTATTATTAGTTCTTATTGGTGTGTGCTAGTAGATTAAGACAGTGACCGACCACGAGCGTAGGGCATCACCTAAATTCCTCCCTGTTATTAAGCTGAGTGCTGTTTAGCGTCATAATGGGTCGATTCTGGATGGGTGAGTACAGATACTACACTGACGTATGATTGTCGCTTACCTCAAGGCAATTATGAAAAAGGTACTAATGTGTGCGCGTGACCATATACTTGCCGGTACGTAATGAGTTAAATGGTACGGGTGCTTGATGGAAGACCTGTTGTTGGATAGTTAAACTAAGCTCGAGAATAGCAATACCTTTATCTTGGAGGATACAGGCGTTTGGCTTGCAATTGATATGTATCTGATTAGTTTCTTGTACTCTGACACTGTTTTTAGTACAACATGGTCATTATACATCTAGAATGTTTGACAAGAGCAGAGACAGGGATAAGCATGACTCTTCGCGAGTGATTGATGAAGACGGAATTACGCTCACCTTGCATAATGGCTCAGGAAGAGTTAAGAATTCGCACGTAATTAATTACATGCTTTACACAACTAAATCTCTAACATCACAATGCTCTGTACAATGTAAAAACAACAGTAACTATGGTCAAATTATCGTTCCTTTGTACTTTGATAAGCAGAAATGATCAGGTAGGATTAGTATGTACCACCTCCCTTTTGATACCAAAAAGAATGCATAAAACGATATCACAAACTGGTCACGTCTCAACGAATTGTGCTCAAATTTAGAAGGACTAAGCTATGATCCGTGGCCAACTATTAAAAATGTCATAAGGCAAAAGATAGGGAGAGGTGATAGTTTCTATAACTCTCCACAAAGCCACTGATCGAACAAGTCCACCCAGAAAAGCTTACCTCTTGTCGACATCAAGACCGTGAAATTAATAAGTTTAATCAAGCGAGTATATATCTTACTAGAGCATACGTACAAAGTCTTTCAACACTGCAAAGAACACCAAATTATGATTTAACAAAGTGTAGACGTATTTTAACATCCAGGTCTAGCACAGCGAAATCAAATCAACGCCGCATCGGCTTATGGCTTAAAAGGATTACGAATTCGAGAAATAAAGCTTAAAGTGAATTGGAAACGACATATGAAGAACCTTAGTTCTCGTAGGAGCTGCTGATATTCATTCATGACACGACAGTGACGGGCGATCCGAAGATCTGGTCCTGGAGAAGCAGACCAACTGCAAATGAGTAAAGACATCATGGTCTTATGATTTCCAAAGACTGACTACAGATTTTCAAGGAACGAAACAACATCAAAAGCTGCGCGTTGACCGGCGAGAGAGGAAGCTTGTGTACAACGTAAACGAAATCAGCTAAGTCGAGGATTCAATTGTTTTCTTAAGTACTATTTCCGAATGATGTGTTGATCTTTGATGAGACAAAATTATTACGACTTGCCACCGAACAAAATCCTCTACGGCTCGAAACAATAGCTAGAAGATTGTAAAGGTATGGATGAAATATCTGTCTACTGCAACGCAAGTGGTTCTAAAATTCAGGATCCCGTAAATTTAACAGGGTGAGTCTATTACATGTGATTAACCTTCATACTTGTTAATTAGAATATTATCATAAAGGTTGATAATGTTCGTAGATTTTACCATAAAGCGTAATGTTTAGAAAAGCTCACAGATTGGCTAATGTGGGTCATCATATCAGCCAGATCTGACGGTCCAATCAACGATGGACGCGCGCAATGAGTGGGGAGCAAGACTTTAGCGTATGTTTTTGTAGGTAAACATAATTAAGGTAGGACTAAAACATAGGTTAATGATTAGATCCTGATCATATTTACTATAGTTTTACTTTTACTAGTAGCTAGTCAGTTTCGAATTGCTTTCCCTTCCTCTGCGGAATTACAGAAGTAGCGAGGCACCGCTCACGCTGCTGTCGGAGATAGTAGCTCCACACCGGTTGTTCAGTGTGTTGCTCCAGTGCTCCGTTACAATATATGCACGTAGTTGTCGGTGCGGCACCTAGTTGCTAGTGGACCGGATTTTGCGGGTCACTCGCGTACCTGCCTCACCTTTTTACCTTCTCGCTCACTCATATAGATACAACGAGGAGGATGCGGCACGTTCAAGTGTATCGCCGACAGCTTCGGTGGCAAAGCCGCACTAATGGGTTTCCCATAATGGACAATGATGCGTGCGCTGAAAACGCACATGTGTTGTTGTTGCTCATAGGATTGGATTTTGGCCAAGAAGTAAGGAATGTTGTAGGGTTTTAGCCGCGTATTGCACTGACATCTTCATTTTGAGCTTTGCACGGGCAAGTGAGTAAACAGTAATGTAAATTGAGTATTTGGGATTTACTCCTGACAAAGCTCGGCGTATTTCTGAGCTACTTCTAATAACGAATCAGAATTACCCAGCCGAATAAAAAAACTCAGTCGTTTAGCATTTGCCATTTTGAATGGGCCTCACTTTCAACCACATCATCAGTGGTGGTCCGAGAAATCGGATAGCAGAGTCTCGCATATCCGTGCCAGCACTGCTCGCGCTAATCTTTGCCACTGTGGTCATTCCGTAGCTGCGCAAAGGATCATTAACATTGTACTCTTATCGGTAGCGAAAATAGGTGTTTTCCTTACATTCAACAGCGTCAAATGGTTTTTGCGCAAAAGTAGCAGAGTCCTGATTCATGCTTTAGTCATTACAGAATTTTATATTTGTCATACTTCAAGTGGCATTGTGGCGTTCCGTTGTCGACCGACAGGTACACTAAGTTGGTAGATTTCGGGTTCGTCGTTGGCAAATTGGTACGTGTATTTCGGGGAAGGCAGCTCGGATGTGGCGCTTATGCTGCTACACAAAGCTCAACAATCAAGAAACGTCCAAACCTTATTCTTCGCTAACGCTGATCCCCCAGGCGCTATCCAATGCGCAGTGGACTTCTCCACGACCGATTTTGCGTCTCCCTCGCTGACGACGTTTCCGGGGCATCTTTTGACAGAAACTCCCGAATTCCCCAATTACGAAACACTTCACCGTCTTTTGGCATGTTTGACAGCACATCGATCAGATGCTGTTTATCTCCAAATCCATCGGATAGCGTATAGACCAAGAGTGACAGCGGAGTATTCTTCATCTGGTGATAACTTGCAATATACGCTGAAAGCGTTTGCAAACATTCGCCCGATAGAGCTTTCTGGTCACCTTCTTGCCTCATCAAGGTCACAACACGTGCTGGTGACAACTTGTCAATATCTTTCCAAACATTCTGCAAAACTTGCGATAGCTGGGCTCCCATCGGCTTTTGACCGTCTGAAACGATTGCGCCACCTATCACGCTCACAAACTCGCTCACGCCACCGAACCCTTTCGTCAGGGCATGCACCACTTTTTCCTTGTTGACCAGCTTGCCGTCGGCCCTTATCGGTTCCATCTTGTTGTACTTGAAGTTGTTGCAGGCCGTGATGAAATTGTCCAGGACGATTACTTTCCAATCAAAATAGACGTATTCATCAACCTTAATGCTGCCTAGCTTCAGTTGCTGGAAAGCGGTCTTGACAGCATCTTTACCATCAGCCATCCATGACCGAAATTGCACTTGCAACAATTCCGTTGCAATCTTCGCGATGGTCTCATCGCGGGATCGTTGTGCTTGAGCAAGCGCCAGCACTAGGTCGACACCCTTAAACGAAACCAAGATTTCCTCGACCAATTCGCTGGCCGTGTAGTGCGCCATCATGGTCTTCATCCTTGGATCTTGCAGCATCTTGATGATACCATCTCGTGAGCGTTCTAAGCCGTCCGTCAGTTTTAAGTGAAGTGCGTTCCGATCCTTTTCTAGCAACTTGGAACAAACCACCTTCAGCTTCGATACGAAGCGATCGATGTACGTCGTCGACCTCACTTCATCGTCCAACGTCCCATCTGACGGCATCAAACTCGTGGGTGGGGTGCTGTCTTGGTCACCGGCAAATGAGCGGACAGCCACTTGGTAGTCGTGAGCTGCAGTACTTGAGCTTGCGGTACTTTCGGCACACACTGCCGATGAAGCCACGAGCACGAGATAGAAGACTTGCATTGTCGGTATGGACTTGACGTTGAGGGAGTAACTCGAGGAATGCAGACCACACGTTGCTCCTTCAGTGGCTCTACACAGAGACGGTACTATGGACGTAATCAACAGGTCTAGAACCCTGGCGCCGTCTCCTCAACCCGTCTCTGTTACAACGGTGTACCCAGCGCGAGGTAATCAAACTCGAGGAAGAAAGCGCGGCTATGTGCCCGAGGTCGCATGTGGCGACTGCCGCTTGAGAGATGATTTACAGACGAAATTTCTAGAGCCATTGACCCATGCAGTGAGTGGTGTTGTCATGCCCCACATGTGTAGCCAGTGGTCATGGACAGGCGATCCATACCCCGGAGGATACTTTTGCGCCAGGTCAACGAATGATAACGCTCTCTAGTGAGGCTTCAAGAGCACACTACTGAACCGACACTACGACAGACGTGCCAAAGCATCTTGGCTGTCTCTTACTCCAAATTCGTATCGGATCACTCCCATTGCCGCGCAACGCTGCCTCCGTCAAGTGTCTACTCGATCAGTCCTAATGGAATGAGAATGAGACACTTGTAAGCTAGCGACAGCAAGACCAGGTTGACTCCCTGAGCTTCCAAGCCGCACCGGAACCAGCTACGTGAAGAAAGGGGCTGGTCGTACATCCTGACACTGCCGCCGAGATAGACATGTCCACGAGTGCATTGGCTTATGGTCACCAGTATTGGCGCATATTCCAGACCGTTCCAATCTGTGGGCGCCACGCAGCGACATCTTTAGCAGCGTACGGAGTCATTGTCGATAACTGCTTCATTCAGTGGATATATAAAGGGCACTGAGCAGTTTCAGTGTAAACATGCGCGACCCGGTTCACGTCTGTGCAACGAGTGCTAGTCATCATGTTGACGTCAAGTTAATCTCAAAGACAGTAGCACACCACCCGTGTCTCGTCACCGTGCGTAAACGTAGGGATGTTAGGTAAAAAGTCCCTGTTGAAAACAGCTTACTTTTTACCAGCGCTGATAACGTTAAAAACAAGGCCACGTTTTGAACAGACTTTTAACCAATCATTATTCAGATCAGTCAAGGTTATGAGTGGGAGGTTGCGCTGCAACCACGTTCACTGTCCGTCGCCCACCCTTACCGCCTCGCCCCCCCAGAAGGAGACTTGGCATGGGTACGGACCTTGTACTGCCATGTACGCAATCAGTCTTGAAGGACCGCTGTTCTCGCGAGAGACTTCATACAGTCTTCCCTCTGCTAAGTTATCCCCGGCTACGGAATTACCTCCGGTAAGTTATAGGATTCGGTCTCCACCGACCTCGTTCTATGGTGACTACGGAATAAGTTATACGGAATAGCATGAGGGCCAAATACAACTTATCAGAGGGAATATTTTTGTCCGCCGTGAGCAGAAGTATTGTACGCAGAACCTTTTTTGTTATTCACTGCAAGAAAGGAGTGGAAAGAGGAGAGGGAACCACTTCAGCCAGGAATCAAGTGTGGCCTGAGTGGTGCTCGCACTACGGAGATCAGCTTGGACTTGGTGAAGGGTCCGGTGAGCTATACGATGGGACTCCTGAGTAAGGTCGAGAAGGGCGATGGATAGACTAAGGCTGGCAAGCTTTTCAGCCTTCGAATGCTTTTCCACCTCCTCCTCCGCCTCAGCAGCACCTTCCTCCCCCCCATACGGATCCTCAACAAGCTTGATGATTTCGGCATCGGTCAGCTCCGCATGCGCCGTCTCCTCCTCCTCAGCCGGATTGAGAAGAGAAGCGATCGACATGGGATTGCGGAGCGGGAGCCTTTCCAGCGCCGAAACAAGATCCTGTTCCACGCGCTGCTCCTCTACTGCAGCAGCTGCTGCCTCCTGCTGGGCCTGCTGGCCAACAGTGCCGGCTTCGTTTTCACCCCCACCAGTCGGCAGAGCCGGACCGTCCATAAGTCCCGTATGACGGAAGCAGTTGGCGATTGTGGCACTGGAAATCTCGCTCCATGCAGCCAGCGACCAACGCATGGCTGTGAGCTGATCAACCTTGTAAAGGTTGGTTTCTCCGCGCTCGTCACGGTCCAAGGCATTCTGCAGGTGCAGCCGGCGGTAGTGCCTCTTGAATGCGGCAATAATCCCAGCATCCATGGGTTGGACCTTTGAAGTCGTATTAGGAGGAAGAACCTGGACCGTGATGTTGGTGAGTTCCAGGTCAGCAACAATGTGTGAAGGAGCGTTGTCCATGAGAAGCAGGATTTTTCTATCCTTTTGCTGTGGTCAACGCGTTAGTCAAACCTCCTTTACTGTACCACAACGATGATGTTCAAGGCATGCCCCAAATTACCTTCATACTTTGGTCGACGTCTCCCAGCCATTCCTGGAAGAGTATGCCAGTCATCCAGGCTTTCTTGTTGTTGCGGTAGAGAAAGGTCAGTCGCTCAGCTGTCTTGCGCTCAAAACACCGCGGCTTTTTGGCGTGTCCAATGAAGAACGGCGGGAGTTTGTCGGATCCATCAGCGTTTGCCGTAAGAGCAACTGTGATGCGCGTCTAGAATAGTTGTTAGTGTCAGAGAAACGCAGGAAACCAAGAGGAGAGCAATATTGTACCTTGTCTTTTTTAAACCCTTCGACCTCTTGCTGGGCGATCGTTTTGTCGGGCGTCATACTATAGAACAAACCTGAACAGAAAGTGAGCCTTTGAGATGCTTCTGTACTGTACAATGAGTACAGTACTGTACTGTATTCTCAGACCTACCAGTTTCGTCCATGTTGTACACGTCACGTGGCGCATAACCAGCAACCACGGCCTTGAGGTGTGGAAGAGCCTCCTCTAGAGCGCCCATATCTGCTGAGCCACTCTCGCCATGAATGCGGACAGCTCGCAGTTTGTGGCGTTGCTGGAATTTGTGGAGCCACCCATGCGAAAAGTTGATGTTTTCCTCCGAGACGCCCATTGATCCCGCAAAGGTCTGAGCCTTGGCCCGTATGAGATCTCCGGTGAGAGCGACCCCACGGTGCTGGCACTGCAAGAACCAGAAGGCGACGGCCTCCTCCATAGATGGGTGCTGGACAGTCCGAGGACGCTTAGCGCTAAGGTCAGTGGTGTCCATTGCCTCAAGCTCCTTCCTTTTTTTGATGATTTTGCTGATCGCTGCCTGGGAAAGTGCCTTCTGGAGGTCAAAGGCGTCATTTGTCCAAGCCGCCAGGGCAGTCTGGGTGATGCGCGGGTTAGCATCCTGGTGCTTGCAGATGCGCAGCTTCTGCTCGTTGGTAAGACGTATCTGCGACATCTGTTGTGAGTGAGCAAGGTACAGTTGGTGGAACTTCTTAATTAGAGATAGCAAAATCACCAGAGACTGGTGGGGCAACCAAAATCACAAAATCTTCATAGGGCACGTGTAACGGGGCACCCTGAAGCTTGTACTGGTGACAGTACAAGCTACTTATTCTGATAACAGAATAAGGCGGTGCCTCGTAACTTCACGTACACTCGTACGTGCAGAGGAAGACGGTAAGAAGAAGCGAGTACTCGGTTAGAGTAAAAAGTAGAACTGTATTTATAATAGTTAATGTCTGCAATAAATCACTATTTATCTTCATCTAACTATGTCTAAATACAAATGTGTAAATCAGTTATCTGCTCACCACTCATTGCGTGCGTCTGTCGTGGCGCGTCTTCGTTGGTTGATATAATGGCCTATATCAACCAATTAGGAACTACTTGGAAGTGCTACAGGATATTGTCCTTATGACAATATTCTGAGAATATAACTCTTATAGTTATATTCTATTAACAATTTCTTATAAATTGTTATGTAACGATTCACCCCGTTACATCACCCCCCCCTTAACCATCAGTCACCTTAGTGACTGATTGACTAAATGGATACTCGTCCCAAATCATTTGGGACGGGGTTTGCACTTGTTGGTCCGCGTCCACTTTCCAACATCTCATCGCATGGTAAACAAGCCCATGCGATGCGCGAGCAAGGCCGCCGAGAGCGCGTCTGCACGTCTCTGTGCGGACGCCGAAGCAGAAACTACAGCAACTGATGTCCCATCGGTTGCTGAATCGACTCAGCCTGTATCACCTGGTGATGCAGGCGCTGGTCATGAAGACACTCGTGTCTTCACAGAGTACGAGCTCGGTGTCTCGTACTCTCCTGATACGGATGACGGATCCGTATCGACGGCAATTGAATCCAAGCCGCCTGCCAAGCGTGGCATGGACGATGCTTTGCGTCGCAGCATCTTTGGTTCATCTGATGAGTCAGATGAACCATCGCCGAAGCGAAGGCGCTCGAGGTCGCGAGACTCGGGCGCTAATAGTGGTGTCGTTTCTCCAATGGACACCACTTCACAGCGAGGTGCCAGTACTTCTGTCGGCACGTCGCAGGAAGAGCGGGACCGCAATGTGTTGCGTCTCGCTCCAGAAAAGAAGGCATGGATGCCTCCTAAATCTGTCATGGATCACTTGTCGGCGACGACGAGTGATCGTTATCGAACACGATTGTTCGATTCGTCAAGGATCCATCACCTTGACCCCAGCGCGAAAGACTATCGCGCTGAACATGAGTTCTTCATCGATGCTTTCTTCAGACATCGATGGTACAGTGGGAATCACAAACGTGATGGTCCCTCACTACTTCAGGCGTGGAACGCCTACATCCATAATCTCGAGGATGTAGGTCGTGACGCTTGGAACGACAAACTTATCAAAGCTCGTGATAAGTTTGAAAAGCGAACCCCGACAGGTGCACGCTACAAGCTGCATCGTCTGTCAAGGGAGAAAGGATTACCCTGCCTCTCTTGGGGAGACTCGTGCCCATGTTGTGTGAACAACTCTGCACGAGCACCTAAGGAGGCTTACCTCCTTACCAGCCCGTGGTGGCGCGTACGTGTCTCTACTGAGATGTACGAAGGGATTGACAACCTGAAATCCCTTTACGACCGTGCCGGGAAGACTTTCTCCGGCGGTCCTTCTGCGGCACAGGATGTGTCGCGTCTTACTGCTCGACCAGACCCAGTACGTCAA